AAGGCTTGAGTTTTTTTACAAAATCACAGTGAAAACATCAGGACTGATTGTCCTGCCAAAACGGGGGGAGATGCATCAAGAAATAAACAGCTAAATGATTACATTGCCACATTTGTAACATTGTTTTTATTCTTCCATTTATTCACCTAATAATTGTGGGGCTTATTTCCAAGATAAGAATTAGATGCTCTAGGAGTATCATTTTTTTTACCTTTCATGCGTGTGTGATTGAGAGGGCTTGTGTGTACATTGCATTCTCCATAAGTGGGTCACGTAGGGAGAGTTGTGGCGCTGCAGCAATAGTGTAGGCTGAACCCACAGTCGTCTCACAACCACAGCGAAGCTTCGGGTAGCTCGGGGCTCTAACCCAATTGGGACATGCAAGGCGTGCTGCAATTTTTAATGTGATGTAGCAAGGCACGATGGGAACTTGGTTATGGTTGTACACTAAGTCATCTCAGCATAGGTAGGGGCCGGGGCTTGGACGTGGGGAATTTTGCTGTTTATGCCTTGATTTTTCTGGGAAGGGTCAGAATTTTGCTGTGCAGGTATTTGGTTTATGCCTCTGACCCCAAATAAACCGATGGTAGCGTTCTTTCCTTAGAAGTAGGCAAAGGACTGTTTTATGTATTCCATACTCATAAGGGTGGTTTTTCTGAGGTTTCCCCTTTCTTTCCTTTTTTCCCATTTTCCTTTTTTTTGGTGAGAGCAGAGAAAGTGATGGTGTCTGTGGTATATTAAAGCTCTTTCTTCTAAGGAACTCGTATTTTTAAAGTTGCTCTCTCTTTAGAATGTGGCAGCTTGTCTATTTATTTCATCTTGATTACCTTGCTAGGCCTATTCAGTCAAGGATTTGTAGCATGGCAAGACTACTGCACTGTCTGTGATGCTTCTCTTGACTGACTGCACTCAAGATCAGATTTATGGAAAATACCCGTTTTTATTTTGGGAGGCTATTTTAATCACTAGTAGCTTAATACCATTTCTTCCATTAATGTAGAATTTTCTGTCTGCCCTTCCACTTGAAAATATTGCCTTGACTTTCATAAAACCAAAACCAGCCAAACCTCTGAATAAACAGGTATAAATCACTTTGTAAGAACTAACTTTACAAACGGAATTAGGTGTATTTCAGGGTTGTATTGATTCTCGATCCATGTGGAGCTGACGTAGACCCAAGCCCAGTAAAAGATGTAGATGTTTAGTTCTTTTCAGAGGTATAAAACCTGGTTTTAAGTGCCTAGGCTTTTTCTGCTGTAGTAGTACAAGAGCAGTTCCTGAGTTACTGAGATTTAAACAAAGAACCATGTAGATTTGGGTGTTGAGAA